TCTTGCAAAATTCTGTCATGCGATCTCCAGTGTTATTTCTGTCACCAAGGGCAAATTTTCCAGCTACTGGTGATTCTTCTTTGTTGTCAACTTTTGCATTTCAATTGCCAGTGATAAGCAACACATCTTGATTGCGTGTTCGGTCGATTTCAGACTACGGAATTTGATAAAAATATAACATGAGTTGATTAACACTAGTTGATTAACTAGTTATACCAATTAATCAATAAATATTTGGTAAATGAATCATTGAATAAGTAAATACAGTTTATGTGTATTTCTGTGATGTTATGTTTATTTTATGCTCATGTTCTTATTTACCTTCCTTTGGTAGTGTCTATCATCAACTATTTGCTATTACCTTCACCTGCAGGCTCTATTCATTGCTAATTCTGGTTATCTCATCCTGATTTTTTTTGCAAGATCCTAGAAGATCCTCATTTCTTATACTGGCAGTGATGATAATTCTCTGCAGTACCTTCAGTCCCACAGGTTGCCATGATGAATGCTTTCCTCATTTTCTTAATTGACAGTGAAACTCAATAGCTAGAGCATCCAGACTAAAGAGAGATGCAATTGTATTTTTGCCCACTGGCCTCCAAAAAGAGTTGGGAAATCAGAGTAGGGAAAGGTTGGTGATGGGGTCCTGGATCATGCTGGATTATAGTGAAGTCAGTTTTGGGTACTCAGACCTGACTCACATTAACCCTTCCTTGGGTTTCTGAGACGGTATCACTACAGAAGTAGATTGCCCAACCTTCCTTCCAAGGAGTGGCTGGTGGATTTGAACTACCAGTCTTCTGTTTAGCAATCAAGTATGCTGAGTGAAATAAGCTAATCACAATGGGATGTACTTGTGACTTATGTGAGCTATATGTGATGTATGGAAGAAAAGCAAGAGAAGAGTCTCCTTCACATGAAAAAATGAGGGTCCTAAAGAAAGGGAATATAGCTTGGTGGTACAAGAGGTTTGTGATAAGCTTCTAAACAAAAGCTTGGCAGTTCAGACCTACCCAATGGCTCCATGGAAGGATGGCCTACTGAACTGCTTCTGTAAAGATTACAGCCAAGAAAACT